TTATTTTAGCTGGGCTAGAATCATCTGAAAAATATGTTGTTCATAAATATCCACTCAGAACTGCGATAACACAAACCGTATTTTTGATGGATTTCCATTCACAACGTTTGGCTGTTCTACAGACAGAAATCAATATAAAAGTGTCCGAAAAGCCAATATCATTTTCGATAAAGACAAATTAGCGTATTTTCCTATCTCCTTATTTCATGGTCTGACGTTCGTTCTCTGTTTGCAGTCAGTCAGGCACGTGTCGTTTTAATAGAATAAACAACAAAAACACGTGCAATGTTACATTGAAACCTCAAACGACTTCGATTGGAAGACGTTTATTTTAAGTTTTTAATCTTATCTTTGTACAATAGTTTTGTAAAGAATGCTTCAGACAGGAATTTCACGAGCCCACGTACGAAGTTTTACATTACGAGTCTCTTTTGTTTTTTTGTTTTTTGGCAAGCTTAACTGAAAATAATTTCTCGCTAACAAAGGTTTCGACAAGGTTTTGTCATCATCACATAATACACCTGATGATGACAAAACCTTGTACATTTGCTGTTGTGTTAAACTTATATTAAAGTTTTTCTTCATTCAAGCCGTCTCCAACCATTATTAGTCTCAAAGTGGGATCTTCGTCATCGAAATTATTATTATAACGCTAAAATCACCGTTATTTGACATTTTACAAGTAGTCATTAGAAACCTCACAAACGAAACCACTGTTTATTTTGAAAAATTAGCTTTCTGTTTATAAATTTAAATTATGAAAGTGTTTTGTACAAGAGTTCAGAAATTGCTCAAGCATGTTAAATTACACTTTTTACTGATAATTGTAGTGTGTTGTTTAGTCCCGCTTTACCAAGCTATTTGTGCGCCATCTGTCGAATAAGTTTTAATCCAAATACGAGGCAGTCATCTCAGTCGCGTTACATGAAACGTATATTTCCAAAAAACAGGATATGCAGTTGAAACTTGTTTCAATAATACACTATAATACTTAAGCCTAAAATACTTTTCACTTATTTTATTTGTTTCGGGGTGATTGAGTATGTCAGAGTTCTGAGAAACAAGAAGGAATTCTTAATAGCCGCGGCTGTAATTATATCTCAAATCGGTCAATAGATGGAGCTATGAGCTAAAAGTTGTTACTCGAAAAAACAAACTCAGAGCCATTTTGCCGCGGCTTAAAAGATAGATGTTTACATAATAACACAGATAGAGAAATAGTTTACAGTTTCTAAGATATAATATAATTCATACTAAAGTGTAAAGACACAAAAATCCCAAGTATTACTTACGTAAATACATATCGTTTAAAATCAAATAACGTTTGTAAAGTGTATGGACTTTATTTTCATATCACTTACAAATTATAGTATTGTTTGTTTGATTTTGAGCAAAGCCGTGGCCTGGCATGACCAGGTGGTTAGGGAGCTCGACTCGCAATCTGTGGGTCGTGGGTTCGAATCCCCATCACACCAAACATGCTCGCCCTTTCAGGCGTGGGGGCGTTATAATGTGACGGTCAATCCCACTATTCGTTAATAAAAGAGTAGCCCAAGAGTCTTACACTGCTAAATTAGGGACGGCTAGCGCAGATGGCCCTCGTGTAGCTTTGCGCGAAATCAATAACTAATTGAGCTAAGCCACATTGGACTTTTGGGTAATCGAATCCCAGTTGTTAGATTTGGAAGTCAGTATACTTACTGCTGTTCTCACCAGGGAGACTACTATAGTATAATAGGGAATTATAATATTTTATGAGGCTCTCTTGTTTCTTCATTAAAACAGATGTTAGCACTTGATAAACTGTGTTCTAACGTCTAAGTGTGTGATTATGTCTAGACTTTTCTTACCACCTAAAAAGTGCACTAACAGTGTTGAAATTGTATTCTGTTAAGTTACCTTCTTCCTGATATGGTTAAACGTTTACTGTTTAAGAGCAGTTAGTCGCAGTTGGTAATCCATAATTGGGATGATATTTCCAACATAACTGGATTATAATTTTACTTAAGTTAGCTCGGATTATTTAATATAATTTCGTTTTTTAAAAGGTTGAAAAATTAGTAACAGTACTTGAAACGACAGAACTTAGAATAAATTTTCTCCATTTTTCTAAGATTCCCCAATATATTTAAAAAATAAACAAGTTGACTTCTTAATTAATTGAATAAAAATACTTTATACACCAATATAAAGTGAATTTATTTTGCGACGTTTCGGCCTTAGGCTCTCTTCAGGCAATTCGATCATCGCCTGAAGAGAACCAAAGGCCGAAACGTCGCGAAATAGATTCATTTTGTAAGTGTATAAGGAATCTGGTTAAGTTTAATATAGGTTACTCGTTTATTTATTCAAATGAATTTCACTTTTAAATATGTATATATATATATAC